GAGAAAGGGGAGAAAGAGGAGAGAGAAGAGAAAGAGGAGAGAGGGGAGGAGAGGAAAGGAGAGAGGAGAGGAAAGGAGAGAGGAGAGGAGAGGAGAGGAGAGGAAAGGAGAGGAGAGGAGAGGAGAGAAGAGGGGGGGGGAGAAAAATAGTCGAAAAGATAAAAGAAAAAATATAGTAAGATACATAAGCCTAGGATAGAAAAAAACAACTGAAAAGAGGAAAAAAAAAACAGGGCAAAGATCACTCTTCTTCGTAATCAAATACGTGGTCGGGTTTACCCCAAAGGACACGTATACCTACAACGCAATTACTTTTCTTTCGGTGCCTCGCATTTGTTAAAGTAATCACATCGACCTGTTGCCGCAAATGGAGGACACGAAAATGGCCGCTACTTTAACCCACCCCCTCCCTCCGTTAACAAAAATAAAATTTAATAAAACGATGGAGGGCGGGAGGGAGAGAAGGAGGGAGGGAGGGAGGGAAGGAGGGAAGGAGGGAGGGAGGGAGGGAAGAGAGGAGATCAGAGGAGAGGAGAGAATGAGTCATACCCTCCACCTCCCCAACTGCCTCCCCTATTCACCGGCAGTACAAAAATCACCAAGACCGCCACTTGCAACGGCCACTAATCATCATCAACAACTTTATGACACCGTGTCTATTGCTGGTTCCATGTTCTCCCTCACCTCTTGGTCTCCCCTTCCCCCCCTCTTTCTCCCCTTTTCCCTTCTCTCTTCCTCCTCACGGCAGTATCCCATTCCCTCTTAATCATCTGTCCTTCTTTCTCCCTCCGTCATCCTAACCTACCCATTCTTTCCTTATTTCACTTCCTTCTCTTCCATTCCCCCTCCCCCCCCCCCCTTTTTCCCTTTCCCTTCTCTCTTCTATCCTATCCAACTTCCACTGCTCCCGTCGCCTTCCCTCTTCTCGCCTTCATCCTTCTTCTCCTTCATTCCTCTTCCCCTTTCTTCTAGCTCATATCCCTTTCTCTCCCCTAGCCTACCCCTTTCTTCTATCCCGCACCCCCCCCCCCCCTTTGCAGGATGAGTCACCCACTACCCTCGCTCGTTACAATCAATTGCTCGTGCGTGAATCCTGTTCGTACTGCAGTATACGTGTCCAGATACATTTGGGTCATCGCAGTAGGTGTAAATAATTGAAATAATAATTCCAAAAGAAAGAGAGAGACAGAGAGAGAGAGAGAGAGAGAGAGAGAGAGAGAGAGAGAGAGAGAGAGATACATATATCATATATACATTATAATGTGTATATATATATACATATATACATATATATATATATATATATATATATATATATATATATATATATATATATATATATATATATATATGTGTGTGTGTGTGTGTGTGTGTGTGTGTGTGTGTGTGTGTGTGTGTGTGAGTGTGAGTGTGAGTTAGAGTTAGAGTGTGAGTGTGAGTGTGAGTGTGAGTGTGTGTGAGTGTGAGCGTGTGTGTGTGTGTGTGTGTGTGTGTGTGTGTGTGTGTGTGTGTGTGTGTGTGTGTGTGTGTGTGTGTGTGTGTGTGTGCGTGCGCGTGCGCGTGCATGTGTGTGTGTGTGTGTGTGTGTGTGTGTGTGTGTGTGTGTGTGTGTGTGTGTGTGTGTGTGTGTGTGTGTGTGTGTGTGTGCGCGTGCATGTGTGTGTGTGCATGCGCGTGCATGTGTGTGCGTGCGCGCGCATCTCTGTGTGTGTGTGCGCGCGCATGTGCGTGTGCGTTTGCGTGTTGGCGTGAGTGTGGGTGTGGATGTGCGTGTGGGTGTGGGTGTGCGTGTGGGCGTGAGTGTGGGTGTCCGTGTGGGCATGAGCGTGGGTGTGGATGTGCGTGTGAGCATGAGTGTGGGTGTGCATGCGTGTGTCAAGAAATATCCGGAACGACGCCAAACGTGCCCATCACGGGAAAACAAAAACTTCCGTATTAAGTCTAAAACGAAAATGGCCAACCCGATAAAAATACCAAGGAAAAAAATAGGCCCCAAAAAACATATATTCATTTTAAGCTCACTTTTCCAGCTTGAATTTAATCCATAACAAAACTGCAGGTAAAATCAAATTTCCGAGATTAGACCCCGGATGAGGACAAAACACCTGGACGCTTCAAATATGTATCACTTAATATTTTTAATTAATCACTGATAATTGAGGGAGAAGGGGAGAGAAAGAGAGAGGAAGAAGGAATACGAGGATGGGAGAGGGAGGGGAGACGAGTACATGTGTGCGTATGTGTGTAAATGTTTGTATGTGTATGTATGTGTGTATGTGTGTATGCACGTATGCATGTGAGTGAGTGAGTGAGTGAGTGTGAAAAAGAGAGAGAGAGAAAGAGAGAGAAAGAGAGAGAAAGAGAGAGAAAGAGAAAGAGAAAGAGAGAGAGAGAATGCAAGCAGAGAAAGCGAAAGAGAGAGACAGGCATAAAGTACACTTACATATACTCAAATTCACAAAAAGTACTCACCGAATGGAACCAGAAGAGAGGGCAAGAT